GTTCCGTCACACTATGCCTCTTCAAAGACGCGCCCGAGTATAGTCTCTGGGATAGTTTAGTTGAGATATCACTAAATCATGCCATTACCTCTCCCATAATGCAGAATCTCACAAGTTATTTACACGGACTGATAGATAAGTAATTAGAGTATTGAGTGAGGTTTTAGATTAGCGTATAGGATAGGATAATAAAAGGGTGTTGAAGAGGGTGATGAAGAAGGTGCTGATAATATAATTATGATTTCATTATACTACTCAAATATTCACTGACTCTGTCTGTGATCGCAAGTTGATATATCTACTTACCGTATTCCTTTATTTGGTAAAAAAAATCTACCGGGATTATTCTCCAAATAAAGAAAACAGGAGAAAAATGAATCAAAACTCATATGTCACAACTAGCTAGTCACAACTAAAAACAGTAAATTCATAGAGTAAAAGAGGATTATCTTCCGATGGGATCTCGATATTCTAGTCTGATCAGAGAGAGACTCTTACATTTATATCCATGCAGTAGCTTTTCAAGTCACTAAAATAATATGCTATATTCGGATGGATACCGTATACTTTCGAAGAATTCGGATAAGCCAAGCAGTGATTAAAACTTAAGGTTATTCTGACAGGCCTGACTGTATTCCTATTGGCAGGATCCTTTATTTGATCGGTAATCATATTATATTAAGTCAAAATGTGTGGGATTTGATCCAGTTTTCCCTATACCAAGAGAAATAGCTTATCCGAATTCTTCGAAAGTATACGGTACTCATGTCATGTAAACTCATACACCTACAAAGTATATTCAACACCGCCTTTCCTTTCCCCATTCCCATATCGTTCTCCCCATTCCCATATCGTTCTCCCCATTCCATTCCATTGCATTCCGCTCGGATCCTCCACTACTAACTATCACCTCTTCAAAGCCATTAAATTTATATATATATATATATACTCGAATAATAGCATCCCACTCCCCACGCCCCGCTTCCCACAGACAACCCCTAATCCCCAAATCCCTAAATCCCCAAGTGTGCTGCTACCGTATATCCTATCCTAACTTCTCCTGCACTTAGCGTACGGCATGTCCCTACTCTACTCCACGCACAGCTCAAGATCTACATCCTTACATATTTACATATTTACATACTCTAGATCTAGACCACCGACATCATATCATATCGTACCGTAGATACTCTACGCAGTCACGCCCCAAAAATAACATAACAAAAGGGTTTCCCATTTCCCATTTCTCATATCCCATTTCCCCGCTTCCTCCCCTACTCTCCTAGTGCGCAGCACGGCGTACGTACGGACCCAGGTCTAGATCTGGATCTAGATCTAGGTTGGTGGACCGTGGACCGTGGACAAAGGACTGTGGTCAAGTGACGTATGTGGGGTGCTATTGGCTATTGTGCCAGAGTCAGACTAGTGTTATCTAACCTCATTTATGATTCTAAGGAAAAGGAAGGTGAAGTGTTGTATAAATAGAAGATAAAATAAGATAAGATGATTGGTGAGTAATGGATGAAGGAAGGGAGCCCGGAGAGAGTTTGGAAGATAATGGATAAGGAATGGGGGCTGAGGGTTGAGGGCTGACGGCTTGCATGTGGATATGGATGGAATAGAGTTTAGGAAGGGAGGGAGTTAGTGTTAGAGTTAATGCTAGAGCTTGAGATAGAGCTAGAGCTAAAGCTACTGTGAGGGAGGATAGGGTATCACTAATTAACTTAATATATTTAGATTTCAAACCAAAGTGGTAACTGAGTTTTGTGCACAGATGGTGAAATGCGAAAAGCGGTACCC